ATTAGACTTATTCAACTAATATCATACTCAAGATATCTAAAGGTTAATATTTTTTTTGTGCAAAAACTTTTTTGAGAGAAAAAAAATGCAAAAATCTACTTGCTGGATCTAGTAACAGTCTCGAAGTCAAGTCTGCTTTGTAAAGCTTTTCTTACAGGGTATGTTGGCAGGACAATAACGTGAAATGCCAAAAACAATATGCAATTGCATAATAATTGTCCAAATATGAGTTTATAAATTCGAAATATTTTCAGCTATTTGTCAATTGAAGCGAAAAGTTCATCGCTTGGGCGAATTGGTTTTTGGGTTGAGTTATACGTTCTGTTTTACCGTCATTTCGGAATACACAACTTCAAGCAATTACAAACTTGCTGAATGAAAWCAAATTTTAATGGTTTTCGCRAATTGTTGACGKAAACAAAATTTGATATTTTAAGTTTCAAATAAAACAAAAACAACAATTTAAGCAGAAATGTGTGCATATTTATCTGCAGWTTCACATTTTGCTATAAATTCGTTAGTAATTATAAATATAAATATCAATAAAATAATTGCTCGCATTTCTAAGCAACAGCAATTTTAACGAAAAAATACACGAGTTGTCCGAGCTATAAAATGAGATTGAAACGCATGATTCAAGCGGATTGATATAATGGCTATATCGAACAATTATGTCGAACTATAATTGCCCTTTAACCTCGTTCTTATTGGGATTCAATAAGTTTCGCTGCAGACTCGCATACGCTCAGCCCGCTCAACCCTCTCAGACCTTTTAGTTCTCTCAGCACTGTCAGCACTCTTCGGTCACTTCTTTACTCTTATTTTTTGCACTTCTGCATCTCATCCGATTCCTGCATGGCATCGTTTCGAAACTTTTTCTCTGTCTCTTCCCCTTCTTCGCTGCATTCAATTGTAGTTCTGGGGTTTTATTGGCCTATTGGTATTAGCATGGCAGCTACTGAACTGTGTTAATAGCTCTCGCTATTATTGTTGTTGTCTGATAATCTTTCACAATCGTGCACAAGTAATTGACAAAAGTTYTTATTGCCTCGAACTAGTTCTGTGGCTATTTTTAGTAATTTTGCATGACARAGTTGCATTTCTAACACACATTAGATAATAGATGTGCATTTGCATGTATGTGTGACTTTTCGCTTGGCCTGGTTTTGTCTGCACATACATCTATTGATTCTTGCTAGCCTCTGATTTTTGCATAGATGCAAATATGTCGAGACACTTTGGTCATTCGAACATTTTCAAATCTAATTTCATTTTGCAGCCTGTGGATTKTAGCAAGCCAAATAGCAGTTTAAATGCAAAATTAAATTGTCAAATGGCTTTGTTCCTCAAATGCCATTTAAAAAGCTTAGCATGATTTAGCACATTGATATTTAATGCAAAAGGAGATGATAGTTGTATCTCTTTTGGTTTTCATTTTCTTAACACTGGTTCGAAATTTCACCTTGAGTTGTTATTGAATGCAATACTCATTGAGTGTTGCACAAAGTCCCCAACCTGACAYATAGATGGCGCTTGTAGAGTGAAATTCATATTATTTTTAGATAGGCCTAAGTTTCAAAAGATGCGTATATAAATTTGACAATTGTTGGATCATTAGTTTGGAAATTWTACMGATTTGAGTAAAACCACTTTTGCTSTTGTGAAAAAATTGATTAAAAGGAATTTCGCGTGTTGGAGTTAACGAAAAAACTCAAAGAGTTCTAGAAGCAGGTTGAAAAGTAACTTGTTTATGGCCGTCTACGTTGAAGCTGGTTGAGTTTGTTGCGCGGAGTTTAAGTACTGAGGTATAATTCCAGTTTTTGCTTGACAAAAGATCGTTGTGCTACAGAGACCACTGAGTCAGAGAAAACGAAGAATCTCTGGTGTGAAGATCTGTCATATATATGCAGTAGGTATGCCTTGCTGGATGGAAAATGATGACTGACGTCGTCAATCGCTTTGACTGATGACGACAGCCTCGCTAGTTTCCCTGGTCGGTAATAGGCTTCTAGGYGCCTCTAGTCTAGGGTTGAAGGCATCTATTGGTGTTCTCACCGAATCTGCTGTGATAAAAACAAGAGCCTGATAATCCTGGAGTTAGCGATCGTGATCGCGGACGTCTGTCGTTGCTTTTGCTTTGTTTTGCTGTCAGAGTCTCAGTGACCCTCTCCAGGTTGCTTATCCTGTGCTCGACAGGGAATGAAAACCACTGTTTGCGACCACGTGGATATGAGCTGGAGAGCTTGGCTGCTGGTTGACATGACTTGGCAACTGGTCAAGGGTGCTCTTAGTCTGGACGACCTAGAGGATTCTGCATACGATATCAGGTAGCAGCAGAAGACCTAGAGGATTCTGCATACGATATCAGGTAGCAGCAGAAACCATTTACTGCGAATAAGCTTCCTGTTGCTCTGGTGCAAGATTTCAGTGAGTTTGATTGGTGTGACTGCCATTATGTGTGCATCTTTATTGGGCTGGACGTTGCAGTAAGGATAGTGATTATTGAAGTGTYCTTGTACCTCTTTGAAATTGATGTTTGCGCCAGGTGGTCTGTTGTCTGACATGGAGGTCGGCAGCTGTGAAAAGCACGTGGTGAGCGTCATCAGTTGAGGATGAATTTTGCAGCAACAGGTCGTCTCGCCGCTGTTGCTGTGTCTCTGCTACCCGTTGATTTGGTTGATTTTATGGCGAACGCCTGAAAACCCAAGAGTTATTGTCGTTTTATGTATAGTGATACGTAGATACAATTGGGGTTAGGTTGACGCATTTCGGAGAAATCACGTCGGCGTCACCAATTTTACCGTCTATGGATATACCTCCCATATAAACCACATCCACTTCTTGTGATAAATGCAATATTTATTCCTTAATTAACTAAAGCAAAAAATCAATCAATCAAATAAAAAGTRTTCAACATGTAAAGTAAAAATTTCTGGTTTAATAATTCTTGTATGATAGAATCTACAAATTCTTCTGCTATTTTCTGTCTTCTAATATTCCTCAGTCTTAGAACTATAATTCTCAAACTATGTAGTCTTCACCTGACAGGTGAAGAGGAGTCGTCCTGTGTAATATTTCAATTGCYTCCACTTTGGAAAACTGTAATTTTTGTATTATTGYTGTACATTTTTATTAAATAAGCATTATATAAATTAACTCAATGCTTATATATTTTCTWTCGCAGACAAGAATCGTAATGCCAGTCCTTCCGTTTTCTGTGATAAAAAGTCCAACCTGGTCGAAGCTGTTCATCCAGCCACCAGCAGCGGCGATGCCAAACTAAAGCCCAGATCTAGGTCAGTATGTATAACTACTATTAGTTTTGCTCTACATTTACCAGTTTCCACAGCCTTAGCTTTGGAGGGTGTGGTGCTGATGAAAGGCTAATAAAGTATATGCTACAAATTGCAGGTCACTCATACGCCGTGGATCACGCAAAACCAAACAGCAAATCAACAACGCGTCCGATGACTGTAATTTGCAGTAAAGTGGCGGAAGGAGGCCAGCGTGAAACGTTGTTTGGACGAAATTTCTTTGAAGAGCGCTAAGGAACGTCGTATATAATTATATAATAAAAAAAATAAATCACGGAAGCAAATTAACAACATCATCATCAAAAACAAGCAAAAAAAAGCAAAGCTTGGGCGAGTCTGTGTATGTGTGCGTGCTGGTGTTGGTGTACAAGTAAATGGCAAAGAGTGTGTGCTTTTTTTTTTTTTTTTTTATATGGATACGCCAAAGGTGGATGTAAACCTTCAGACGATATTGTTGGGCCGTACCAACAATTATTGCCGATTCGCATAAAGAGCATATGTGGTAAAGCGGGGTGCTTTTTTTGACGTGTATTTCCCTGCGAGAATACCTATAGGCTTTCCTTTGYAGGGTAGGTATTGTTTAAGTATATAACAGCTCTTTTATATGTAAGTTCTTATTTTGTCATAGGTTTGCAGCTTCTCGGCACTGCACTCTCGGTCTTACAGCGATTTCATCTTCTCGCAGCCTTTGCATAATATACGCTAYTATCCCACGTAYAATAYTCCATGCTAGATGAGAAGYTAGCATARAATTTACTACRTCCCTGGAACGTATGRGTAAGGGCTTTCCTAGTTTATCGGAAAGTATTTGCCTTTACTTTTGGAAGCGGACACAGTCCACCAGTATTCATATGTTTCAGGTCCACATACTGTYTCGTATATTAATTTGACTCTGTCAGAACTCTAATAATTAGAGTCCAGCTCGCTGAGTTGAAGGCGTTTTTAATATCTACAATACAGTATTSTTTGTTRCCCCAGCGCCATCTACTCCCTTCCAATGCTTTTCCCACTATTTTGGTAACCTCATTTACCGCATCCACTGGGATTCAACCCAGAGTCTYCTTCCGTATMTTTCTCGAGTCGCTTGCAGATAATTGTCTCAAAAACTTTTCCCGCCGTATCAAGCATACATAAGATCCGATATGACGAAGGTTCTTCTGGAGGCTTATAACCTTTGGGGAGAAGAACRAGSCGTTGACGCTTCCAMCATTTRGGCAAGATCCCTTCCTTCAAGCAGCTAGTGTATGCGTTTTGGAACAATGTTGGCTTTCTTTGGATGATATGCTTAATTACGAAATTGGGTATTCCGTCTAGGCCGGGTGATTTGCCTGTCTTGATTCTTTTCACCACATGTTGTATTTCTTCGTGGGACACTTCAGCGATTTCATCTAGGTTAGTTTGAAGAATTGGAAATAAGCTACGAACCATCTTACGTAAAATTGCGGGTGAGCTTCTTGATCTACCTATTTTCTGCATTTCGATTCAGTAGGCTTTTCACCAAGGGTCGTTTTCTACCTCGAAGATAAGTAGCAGACCACCAGTATAGTGGAGCTTTGTTTCTTTTCTTCGTGGCATCGTGGCATCGGCTACCGTTACTAGTGATTTTGCTATGTATTGTATCTGGTTCCGAGTGCTCCCTTGTAAATCCTCTTTTACTTGGCTTTTTACYTTCTGTATCACAGACTTTTATTTTCCAGCGTCTTATTCCGCTTTGGGGTGCGAAATACCAGAGTTTTGATTATTCTGTATATTSATATCAAAAATTATAGCTTGATGATTACTCTGTGTATACACTTCGAAACTCTCCATGAGGTTCGGGTTGCTATCGACGAGCTTACGAAGTTGAGGTCAATATGCAGTGACGCTCTTCCTTTGATAAAGGTTGGCTTGTATCCGTTGTGAAGGAGTCAGGAGGAGGAGGGATCAAGATTTGCAAGTGATGATAGTAGGGCTGTGCCCCTCGCGCTTGTGATCATTCACCCGCACACTCAACCGCCCATGCGTTAAAGTCACCGGCAATGACTAGCGGTGTCTTTCAAGAGCATATCCTGAAATTCTACAAAGAGTATGTGTGTGTTGGTACATATATTTGATTGCGGATATACAAACGTACCTATGTAGGTGTGTATACGTAAACAGGCAGTTATTGCGGTTAAAATCGAAATATAAAAAAAAAAATATGAAAAAAATATTTACAACTTTTACTAAAAAATATATATTTATTGTAGTTTAAAGGCGCACTAGTTGTTATTCAAATTTAACAAATATTAACTAAAAAGATATGCGTAATTTTTTTATAAATTTTTGATAAAATAAAAATAATTGACTTGAAGCAACAAAACATAAACACTGTTTCGTGTAATTAATTTTGGGTAAAAAGTTTAGACTATTTCAGGTATTTATGTTGCGTTTACTTATAGTATACAAAACAACCACCTTTTTAATTTAAAAACTACAGCTGCACTTTATTTGTTTACTTTTTTTTTCAATAAATTATTTTTATATAATTTTAGTAATTTATCTTGCCACTTACTCAACTCAAGAGGAAGGTCTTCTATCGGGAGCTCTCAATCAATTATTGTTTCAGACGGACACTGCGATATCTTTTAAGCAGAAGTGGCAGCCATTAAAGTATCAACAGATATTTGTGACAAAAAAGTACCCGGAAGTTTTAAATAAAGTGCAAGGTATTTAATTATTCATCAATATTTAGTTTATATCAATCCCAATCMCTTCGTGCAGGTGAGTATATCGTGATATTTCAATCTCAATATGGCAAAAGGCAGAAGGCATAATATGATGATTTCACCTTGCCTTTCTCTATATAGCTTTGCCAAAGATTGTCTAACAAATATTTAGGCACAGCATATGTGAACCTATTGGACAGCGTCCAATCAGAACACCTTTTATTGCGGCAAGGTTAACTTTGCTAACAGCAAGTAATTTAAGGGATGTCTTATGATTCACTTTGCTTCAGAAGAGATATGCAGTCGCTGAAGTTCTRGTTGYTGACCAATGCTGTCCGAGCTCACTGAAGGTCCAYAKGTRTGGTGTTAGAACRCAAGAAAATTCTAAAATCCGACTCGCTTCCAATCAGATGAAATAAGGGTAGCCTTCCCGGCAAGCTCAACAGTTTTGCAGTTTCTGGCGATTTCGCGCAAGCTGCTGGCCATTGCTAACGCGGTTATGCACTCATTGACTAGTTTTGAACTAGTCAACAGGCGGTGTGCAAAGACGRTCTAGCCACTTTATATTGGAGTGAATGCACACCTCTCTAAGGGAAAGAGCATTTTGAAACAGTACATCTACTACTACCTTGATGGCAATAAAGTCCGATGAAAAACGCTAAAATGATCTGGTAGCCTGAAACTATAGTCGATGAAGAGCTTCGGACAGACGACTCCACCTTCTTAACTTTTACCTTTGTCAGGGGAAGGATCTGCGACGCGAAGGTTGTAAAAATTCAATTAATGAAATGCAGAATTTCAATGTGTCACTGCCAGGACCTCCTTACATACCCATAATAATAATGGCAACATGCGCAGAAATTTACCTACCATATACATATGTATGTCTATAAGGGCAACGTGTAGAGTGGCATTGACAGTTGGGTCTACGAAAACCGGAGCGGACCCGGATTTTTATCCGGCCAAGGACTTTCAACTCGGGAGAATTCTGCCGTTACAACAACAACAACAGTGGCATTGAGTTGCTCCTCTACAGTAGTAAAAGGCTACAGATGCCTTCAGCATTCTTTCCTTGATGTTTAGTTTCTGTAAAAGCTCCCTATCCAGAATAAATCTCATTTACTCCATCCTGTCCACCGGTTGAAGAATAGAGAATTCCAACAAGGAGAGAGTAAAATCTCCTAGTAAACAAATCTGCTTCAGTACTTATAATTGATTATCTGTCGAAATGAGACCTGGGGTGAGATCGTAAAATGTAAAATTTTCCTTTTGCATGAAGATATACAACGTTAGGCAACCATCTGGTGACCGCGTTTTTCAAGTTTCTTCATCAGAACGTTCACTAATTAATCCAGAGCAAATGGGACAATATGCCTCCTTGTAAGATATCCCTATTTACTTCTCCAAGTTTCGGTGGACTGTCTCTCTCCACTACAACTGTTCTGTCGCAAAAGAGACTACAGATGATTTTCGTGAACTTTGCTTCAGCAAGAAACTTATCAAAGCTAATAATCGCTTTCAGTCTTATGTATATTGTTGGGGACCCCTCGATAATAAARTAGGTACCCACCATAAAATCTTAAGGGTTCTTCCAGCTACAGTACTATAAAATGCAAGGCAGSGTCGATCAACCCGCCTTTTCTGTAGATATGTGGAGCACTTCACAGCCCGCCCTTGGTATTCGGCCCTAGGGGTCACAAAGATCTGATTTCAGCAATTGAAACAGTTTTCAGTTGATTACGTGATTTATCATATGATACCCTTTTGATCGACAACAATTTTGCTGAGGTGGCTTATAATGATTCCAACAAATTCGCTGTATAGGGTTGTTGCCTAAAACTAGAAACTCAGTCTTGAACAGTCAAAGATGTTATAATAGGTTGTCAAAAAAGTCTTACGGTATTTCTTGCGATATTTTTATTGAATTTTCAATTGTTCATAACAGTTTTTTTGATGACGCATGCTCAGCTCTTGACCGCTGCTACGGCTGCTACTATGCCGGTCTCTTTCGACCAATTCAGCGATTTTATCGCAATTTTCGACGACAGGCCTAGACTAGAACTACGCGCTCTCAGCGCCAACAAGCGAAAATACCGCAAGACTTTTTTGACAAACTAATATTGGATCAAATTCGTAATTAATTAACCGTTACTCGTTAACATTCGTAGAAGATATTATCCAACTTAGCATCAGAGTACGATATACAAAGAAATTCACGAAAGTACATGCAGGCTCGCCAAGATCATGTGCAAGAGATCCTTGGGAAAACTGGCTTGCTTCTTGTTGTAACACCTCATGTGGCTTTGTCCAGCACTATCTAGAATTCGACTGAGGTATCTAGGAGTTTCCGAATTCAAAGGAATGGACTTAAAATTAAACTGAACGGCTATCTGGCATTATTAAGAATCAGCAGGCCTGTATATGGCGTGATAGCCGGCCAGTATAACCTCTGTCTCTTATACACATCTAGATGTGTATAAGAGACAGCTTTGTAATTATGCTCGAGAATTGCTGGTCTGAGCGCACAGCACACACAAAGCTGCCGTGTTAATGTTTTGCTCCTTT